GCAGCTAGTGGTGCCGCAGCGGTACCGAGCAGAGCTACTCCGGATAGCGCACGATATTCCCGCTATCCGGACATCTAGGGGTCAGTCGCACTAGGTACCGACTGACCCAAAGTTTCTTCTGGCCAGGGATCAGCCAGGAGGTACGCAGGTATTGCACCACCTGCGATACCTGCCAAAGGGTAGGGAAAAGGGGAGACCGGAGGAAGGCGAAACTACACCCCTTCCCATAATTGAGGAACCTTTTAGCCGAATAGCGGTAGACTTGATAGGCCCCCTCAAGAAAGCTAGCCCGTCAGGCAAAAGGTACATTTTAACGGTAGTAGACTATGCTACTAGATATCCAGAGGCAGTGGCTCTGACCAACATTCACGCTGAAACGGTCGCGGATGCCCTCATGCAGATATTCTCCCGGTTGGGATTACCCAGGGAGATTATCTCGGATCAGGGTACCCAATTTACCGCAGAATTCACCCAACACCTCTGGAGGATCTGTGGCAGTAAGCCTATTATCAGTGCCCCTTACCACCCCCAGACTAATGGGCTTTGCGAACGGTTCAATGGTACATTGAAACAAATGCTCCGAACCTTCGCAGAGACCCACAAGGACTGGGAGCGGTTCCTGCCGCATCTCCTATTTGCTTACCGGGAGGTGCCGCAGGAATCCACGGGGTTTTCCCCATTTGAACTGCTATTTGGGAGGAGAGTCAGAGGCCCATTAGATCTTATAAGAGAGCATTGGGAGGGAGATCGGAGCGCAGATGGCACTCCCATCATACCATATGTGTTGGCCCTCCGAGACCGCCTGGAAGCATTAACTAGGACGGTAAGGGAAAACCTTCAGGCAGCACAGACCCGCCAGCGCACATGGTATGATCGGGGAGCCAGGGACCGTAGCTTTCAGGTCGGGCAGAAAGTGCTCATTTTAAAGCCTGTCCGACATGACAAGCTACAGGCCGCCTGGCAGGGACCTTATAAAGTGGTGGAACAGAGATGTAACACCACCTATATAATTGGCCCCTGCACAGGGACGGGAGGGCGACGCATGCTCCATGTGAACATGATGAAGCCCTACCAAGAGCGCTCCGAGGAGGTAACCGCCATATGTGCGCCCAATTCTGACGAGTTTGACAGCTTACCACTCCCAGATCTGCTGGAAGATGGGCAGCTGTCTGGGGATTTAGGGGAAGTCGCACTGGGAGACCGGCTGAGTCCGCAGGAGCGCATCGAGGTACAGCGGCTGTTGGAGGAGAAACGAGACACGTTCTCTAATGTACCTGGGTACACCCCTCTGGCCACTCACCGGGTAGAGACCCCAGGGCAACTACCCATGCGCCAGACCCCCTACCGCATCCCGGAAGCGGTAAGGGAAAACATGCGCAAGGAGATCGATGAGATGCTCCAACTGGGGGTGATTGAGCCCTCAGATAGTCCCTAGGCTTCTCCGGTAGTGCTCGTATCGAAGCGGGACGGTACGACCCGCTTCTGCGTAGACTACCGGAGATTAAACGAGAAAACTGTGTCCGATGCAAACCCTATGCCACGGATAGATGAGCTACTGGACAGAATGGCCAGGGGTCAATATCTCACTACCATTGACTTATGTCCCGAAGTCGGCCTTTGTCACCCCATTTGGCTTGTACCAGTTTAAGGTCATGCCATTTGGGATGAAAAACGCCCCAGCTACTTTCCAGAGGATGGTAGACCGATTCCTGGATGGGTTCCAAGACTACACCTGTGCCTACCTGGACGATATTGCCATTTTTAGCAATACGTGGCAGGAGCACTTGGCCCATATAGGAGCGGTTCTAGACAGGATTAAGGAAGCTGGTTTGACATTGAAACCGGCCAAGTGCAGCATAGGGATGGCCGAGGTGCAGTACCTCGGACATAGAGTGGGGTGCGGCAAACAGAAGCCCGAACCAGCCAAAGTAGAGGCCGTGGCCCAGTGGCCCACCCCTAGGACTAAAACCCAGGTGTTAGCATTTCTAGGGACCGCTGGGTATTACAGAAAATTTGTCCCTAACTATAGCGCCCTCGCCAAGCCCTTCACTGACCTTACCCGGAAGAGTTTGCCCCGCCAGGTGACCTGGACCCCGGGGTGTGAGCAGGCATTCCAACATCTGAAAAACGCACTGATAAATGCTCCTGTCTTGGCAGCTCCCAATCCAACTAAACGTTTCCTTTTTCACACAGATGCTTCTATGTTTGGATTGGGAGCAGTACTGAGCCAAGTCGGGGCCGATGGCGGAGAACACCCCGTGGTTTACATCAGTCGCAAGCTGTTACCCCGAGAAGTAAGCTACGCCGCCATCGAGAAGGAATGCCTGGCTGTGGTGTGAGCCTTAAAGAAACTGCAGCCATATCTATATGGACAGCCCTTTTCCTTACTCACGGATCACAACCCGCTGGTATGGCTAAACCGGGTGGCTGGGGACAATGCCAGGCTGCTGCGCTGGAGTTTGGCGCTGCAGCCTTTTGACTTTAATATTCAGTACCGCCCGGGTAAACAGAATGGGAATGCCGACGGGTTGTCGAGACAAACTGACCTGGAAAAATGATCCGTGAGTCCCCGGACATCCCCAAGCCGATCCGTGTTGGATCAGACTGTGTATGCCGGCTTGTGGGCAAGGGGGAGCAGTGTAGCGGATGGCACTGGGCTGTCCTGCAAATGTCTTGTGAATAACTGCATTCGTGTGATCTGCTAGTTTTATATGTGTTTAAAAGAATGTTATTCCTCTGATTGTTCGGTAGAATCATTCGAATAAACTAAGGGAATGAAACTACCGAACAATCAGACCTCCCCTGTGTTAAGTGTGTCCTCAATTACCCGTTGCAACATTGTTGCGAACGGGTAATTGACAAGTTAAGTAGCCGTCCTTTGTTCTCGGGGGTGGCCGCCATTCGACAAACGAACACGTGGCGGCATTTTAAAACTCCCGAACAGCGGTGTTTTGCCGTCGAGTGTCTGGAACTCAAATCGGACACTCGACTAGGCGAACACCGCTGAAACCTCCACAAGCCCGGTCCGTTCGGTTCCAAACTACCGAACGGCCCCTCGTTCGGTAGATAGAAAGAACTGAATGAGGGGATTCAGGCGAACCCTCCCTAGCCTCTATAGCTAGAGGCTTACGTGCAGTTTGTTCCCTTATTCCAGGACTGACCGCAGGGCCCATTCGCATGGAACCGCATTCGGCTATTTCAGTCAGTGCGGTCGGTCATTTTATTCCCTCCATAAATTTCCCGAACCCCTGGTCTGATCTGGGTGATTTTTGGATATGTTGTTCACCCAGATCAGGGCTATCCGGGGATGTAGGATTTAAAGAAGTACCCCTACGTTTAGGGGTACATCCAGAAACGGGTGGAATTACTGTACTGGATAAGGGGATTATGATGCTGGCTGAGGGGAGGAGATGTGTGGGAGGTTACCAGGACAGGATTGGCTACTGTATTAATAATTGTAAATCCCTCCTTTGCATGGGAGCATGCTTTAAAAGGACACTGTGGATTAAAGCTTTCAGTTCTGCTCCTGAAACTGTGTGTCGTCCAGTTATTGGGATTGCTGTGGGGATATTGCTGTTATTTTACCTGCTGGAAACCTTGCCTGTGGATTTATTATTTACTTGTTCCTGAGCCTCACTTGGATCATAAGCGGAGATAACCTGGGGAATATTGCATCTCCGCTACACTGAGTTAGACCTTCCAGGTCGGTAAAACTGGAGATCAAGGTCTTTTAATAGTGTAAGCAGTTTCAAGATCCATTTTGCCGCCCTCTCATATCACTCATTAACTGACAGACGCACACTGGCAGACACACATTCACTGACAGACAGACACTTACTGATAGATATAAACTCACTCACTGACAGACACACAAACACACACTCACAGACATTCACTCACTGACAGACACACACTCACTCACTGACAGACACACACACACACACACACAGGCAGACACTCACTGACAGTCAAACACTCACTAACACACACAGGCAGTCACTCACACTCACTGACAGTCAAACACTCACCTCCCTGGGGTCGGGTGTGGGACAGCTCCTCACTCCTACGCCCGCTGTTTAGTATGCCGGGGTTGGAATGATGTCATATTCCGGCTCCCGGCATCACAGACGACACGCTAAGGGGGAATGAGAGGATGCAGGAACAGCCTCGCCGCCTGCCTTCTCTGTCCCCCTCTCCTCAGGACAGGTCACCGGCATATTTTGGCAGAGTAGGCACCTGCCATCAAGGTAAGCAGGTGCCTGCTCTGCCTTACCTAATACAGCTTAGGGGGCGCACTGAGGTAGCCAGATGGCCACATCTGGCCCCCCGTGACAGGGCTCCTCTCGGTGCCCCCACCTTCAGGCGCCTTGAGGATCGGCCCGGCGCTGGGGGCAGCTCAAGAGCTGCTGGCCCAGCACTGCGGCCCCAGAAACATCCCGCTGGGCGCCCGGGAATGCCTAGTTCGCCTAACGGTGGCGCTGGCCCTACATATCAGTTCAGGAAGATAAGTGCCTGCACCTTTAACAATTGGTAAGAATTCCTCCCTGTTCACAACAATCTGTGCTACAACTGTTCTGTATCTTGAGCTGGTTATAGCAGTTGCCGGAATGTTTTTTTCAGGATGTTCCAGCACTCCGCTGAGCACTGAATCAAACAGGTCTTAATCCCAGGCTTATCTCTCTGCTCAGCAGGGGTATTATACTTCTTGCATCAGTTCTCAACTCACTCTGAACACTGAAATGGAGTCCTTGATATATATCCAAACATTTGTCCCAAAATTTGCCATGTAGCTGGTCACTACACTAAAACTGCAGGGTAGTCAATGGCCCAGCAGAAACAGTGATCCCAGAGGAGTTACGTGTTATTTATTTATTGGTTGAATTTAGCGTGTCAATTAAAGGCAACACTATAGTCACCAAAGCAATTTATTTTTATTTTTTTGGGGTCAATCTTTGTTTTATTGAAATGGTATCATGAAACATACAGACAGCAGTATAGTACCAGAATTTGACAGCTTGAAAAAACATTAGCGTAATGTACAATGTGAGTTCTAGTCATCTCTGGGTGGAAAACAAAAATCTAATTTTAATATTTAAAGCAAAACAGGCTAAGCATGCATGTCTAGGCCTAGCTGACTGTGCAGGAGGCTTGCAAGTTGATACAATTGCTAGACAGAAGGATTTCTAATATCATCTCCTAAGAGGGAACCACTAAATCCTGAGACACTATAGCATTACCTCTTCCAACAGAACATAAATGAGAAATTTAAAATAAATAGCTTAAAGCTTAAAGGACCACTATAGTGCCAGGAAAACATACTCATTTTCCTGGCACTATAGTGCCCTGAGGGTGCCCCCACCCTCAGGGTCCCCCTCCTGCCGGGCTCTGGGGAGAGGAAGGGGTTAAACACTTACCTTTCTCCAGCGCTGGGCGGGGAGCTTTCCTCCTCCTCTCTTTCTTCCTAGCGACGTCATCGGCTGAATGCGCATGCGCAGCAGGAGCCTCGTGCGCATTCAGCCAGTCTCATAGGAAAGCATTCATAATGCTTTCCTATGGACGCTGGAGTCTTCTCACTGTGATTTTCACAGTGAGAAGCACGCAAGCGCCTCTAGCGGCTGTCAATGAGACAGCCACTAGAGGTTTAGAGGCTGGATTAACCCTCAGTGTAAACATAGCAGTTTCCCTGAAACTGCTATGTTTATAAAAAAAAAAAGGGTTAATCCTATCTGGACCTGGCACCCAGACCACTTCATTAAGCTGAAGTGGTCTGGGTGCCTATAGTGGCCCTTTAAGAAGAAACAACAAAAACATTCAGTGATGTTCAAAATGAGGGATGTAGGCATCCTTGAGACATAAAATGGTGGGAGAATTAGGTGTTGGGTCCGCCTGTGTGAGAGAGTCGGCAATCAGCCAATTCCTTGACTCAGATGATGTAGGATAAAAGGTATTGGTGTTCACCAAAGCAACTTTAGCCTAATGAAGCAGTTTTGGTGTATAGATCATACCGCTGAAGTCTCACTGCTCAATTCTCTGTCATTTAGGAGTTAAATCACCTTTGTTTCTGTCCATGCAGCTCTACCCACACCTCCCTTGGCTGTGACTGACACAACTTGCATGAAAAAATAAGGTTTAATTTTAAATCAGATGTGAACTTACTTTAGAGGTTTTTATCTACTGGTCTATAAATTGACCTTTAATAACATACAGGAGACATCTCCAAGGCCTAAAGTGCTATTAACAGTGCCGGAGAGAATAAATTCTAAATTAAGCAGGCTGTATAATAAAAGTATAAACATTAGATGATTTTACAGGAAGTGTCTAGGAAGGCTGTGTAAGTCACATGCAGGGAGGTGTGACTAGGGCTGCAAAAACAAAGTGATTTAGCTCCTAAATGGCAAAGAATTGAGCAGTGAGACTGCATGGGCATGATCTATATACCAAAACTGCCTTGTTAAGGTAAAGTAGTTTTTGTGACTATAGTGTCCCTTTAATACTTCATACCATAAGGAATGTCACATGACCAGGTTGTGAACAGTTTCAGGTTTATTCACAAAGGTGAGAACTGTCATGAATTCAAAGGGAATTTCAAATTTAATGTCAAATAGTTGTACTGGAAAAAATTCAGTTATTCTTCCATTTTGGCTACTTGGCCTCAAATTTGAAATAAATATTTTTAGGACATAAAAATGTATTCAATACACCTGGCTTGGCTACTTGCCTCTTGAATTAACGACTATTTAAAACAATTTTTTTTTAGAGAGATGAGTGAGTGGCTAAACAGTATTTTTCACCTGCTTTGCTGGCTATGCTATTACTGGTACGGTATGGAATTCAATGTATTTTTCAAAGTTCCCATAATTCTATGACCACAGGTTGTGGCACATGAGAATCATTAGAACAACAGCATGCCTTGCAGAGATGTGTGCATAGCATTTTGGGAGGATAGTGGCACCCAGAAGAATATGTAAATGTGTTTATACATTTAGCTTCATAGCACACCTCACCCCAGTTCTAAGAAAGTGTTTATTGTACTTACTGGGGTGAAGAAAAGAAGGTTTGTCACAATGAGAGAATTCTCAACCCCTCTTTAATAGCGCAGCTTTATCTGTATACCCTATAGACTGTAAGCTCGTTTAAGCAGGGTCCTCTTCAACCTATCATTCCTGTAAGTTTTCTTGTAATTGTCCTATTTATAGTTACATCCCCCCTCTTGTAATATTGTAAAGCGCTACGGAATCTGTTGGCGCTATATAAATGGCAATAATAATAATAATAATTATAATAATATTTGCTCATAGAAGCAGTTAAAGGGATGTAATGTAGTTGTTCTGGTGAGTATAACCATTGCCTTCAGGCATTTTCATGCAAACACTGCCTTTTCAGAGAAAAGGCAATGTTTACATTCCCCCTAGGGTCACCTCCAAGTGGTCACTCCTCAGATGGCCACTGGAGGTGCTTCCTCGGGCAGTGCTGCACAGTAGGCAGCACTGCCATTCAGCGTCTCCACGCTGTGCATGGGTACACTGAATTTTCCTCATACAGATGCATTGATTCAATGCATCTCTATGAGGTGGTGCGAATTGGCTAAAATGGTGTTTGGCCCTGCCCCCATCATGCCTGCTTGCCAGTTTTGGCTAATTTAATGCTTTCCCTAAAGGAAAGCATTGGATTGGCTTAACATGGGCAATTCTGATAATGTCACCGACCGGGGGTGGGGCCAGCGCCGGCAGACCTGCATGGCGCTGGACATAAGGTGAATTTTCACCTTTTCTAAGGGGGCTAAGCCACCTAAATTGTGGCTTAAACACTATAGGGTCAGGAATACATGTTGTGTTCCTGACCCTATAGTGTTCTTTTAATGCATTGTTTGGGGTATTTGGGACTGAGGATCCAAAATTGTAAACTTTAAAGGACAATCAAAGCACCATAGTCACTACAGCACATTGTAGTGTCTTGGCAACGAGGGACACCCCTTCGGATGCTTCTCAAGTTTTCCCCCGCAAAGTTAATTCACTCTGACTGGGATAACATAACAAAAGCAGTTCTCACTCTAGTGAATAGACCTGAAACATCTCATCCACTTTGTCTCTTTCTCACTCCTGTCCTCCTCTTGTGTTTCCCAATCCCACACACCCCAATGCTATCACTTATTTTTATCTCCAATGCCCCTAAAATCCACTACCGCACAATACCTGTATCTGTCTCTCCACACCTCTACCCCCTCATGCACCATTCCATATTCACCATACCTGCATTGCAGTTTGGCCAAGCAGAAATATAGGTTTGACGAAGCATGTTCATTTGTGAGGTTTCTTTGTATAGTTCTGAGTGCAGTAGTTATAATGTAAGGGAGATATGACTTTATCTACACCCTCCTTGTAGGGCCATAATAAAATGTTAAACAATTTTAACCCCTGTCGAGATTGTCACTGAGCCACACTACAGCCAGTGCACACAGCACCCCCTCCTGGCTGTTACTTGTAGAAGCAAAGCACACTTAGAAGATAAAATCTTTAAACATTTTGATTTTGTTACAAAATGTTCCCCGTATACTATTATCTAAAGTAATTGTTTCCATTCGATGAATTAGAAGTTAGAAAAAAAATATGAATAACACATTTGGAGGTAATGACGCTACAAATATGAAGAGGCAAAGTAATGCACACAACAAACAGCTTTACGCCTTTCACACCAGACAGTCTTGTAAAACATGGTAGGGAATATGAGGCTGCCTCGGAAACACGAGCCTATTTATGGTAATAATAAAATAGAAAGGTGAACAGCGCTAAAAATCAGAAAATGTACATACGTTTTGTAGAAATACTGGCCAGCAGAGTAGCTTAAAAAAGAGAGAAACAAAAATACAAATAATGGTACAGTATGTATGAACGATATAATTCCACAAGAACAAAGGTGTTATATTCACACTCACACTTTGAGGAGCTATATCAGCTCGGTGTTAAGAGCCTGGATGGAATAATCCCCGTCTATGGATTTATATACTAGAGCAACGACCTGCTCTAGTTTGGAGAATTTCAGGTGGAATAATCCCCACCTTGGGATATAGTGGACCCAGGTATAGCAGCAAAGCAGTATTGGATAGGAAGGAGGACAAAAGGAATGACTGGATAGTTTAAAAAATATATATACTTTAATACAATAAGTGAAAAGTGAATAATAAACTATAAAACCAGTCCTGTATAAAAGTCCAAAATTCTTCCTCACTTGACGCGTTTCGCCGAAGTTTTCTCAAAAGTGAATTCACTTTTGAGAAAACTTCGGCGAAACACGTCAAGTGAGGAAGAATTTTGGACTTTTATACAGGACTGGTTTTATAGTTTATTATTCACTTTTCACTTATTGTATTAATTCACTTTTGAGAAAGCTTCGGCGAAACGCGTCAAGTGAGGAAGAATTTTGGACTTTTATACAGGACTGGTTTTATAGTTTATTATTCACTTTTCACTTATTGTATTAAAGTATATATATTTTTTAAACTATCCAGTCATTCCTTTTGTCCTCCTTCCTATCCAATACTGCTTTGCTGCTATACCTGGGTCCACTATATCCCAAGGTGGGGATTATTCCACCTGAAATTCTCCAAACTAGAGCAGGTCGTTGCTCTAGTATATGTAAGTAGGATCATCCACTTTTTTTTTCACAATATTTTATATTTACGTACTATACCATGTGGTGTATTTTACTCTTGTTTTTCATGTAACGAATATTTACAACTATAAATTCACCAACGGTCTTGAACCTCAAGAAATCTATAGACGGGGATTATTCCATCCAGGCTCTTAACACCGAGCTGATATAGCTCCTCAAAGTGTGAGTGTGAATATAACACCTTTGTTCTTGTGGAATTATATCGTTCATACATACTGTACCATTATTTGTATTTTTGTTTCTCTCTTTTTTTAAGCTACTCTGCTGGCCAGTATTTCTACAAAACGTATGTACATTTTCTGATTTTTAGCGCTGTTCACCTTTCTATTTTATCTGTCCATTTATCACAAGGTAGAGGAACACCTTGTTGGTGAACTGCAGCTTATCCCTGAGAAGAGAGCGCTTATTATTCTTTTGTATTTATGGTAATGGTTTCACGGATCTTTACTGAAAAATGAAAATTAAACCACAAAGAAGCTGAAAAAGGTTATTAGCCTCGATGAAATATTTTTGGATAAACATTTTGAATAAGTCACATT